GGGGTGGGGGGTGGGGGGTGGGGGGTGGGGTGGGTTGCAGTTAGCAATCAGACAGTGCAGACTAGTCGTAGCGATGGCCTCCAACCTACTAGCTCTGACACGCGTTCCGAAGCGATACCGTTCCCGCGTTCCGAAGCGAACTATTTTCTGCGTTCCGAAGCGACTCCCTCGCCCCAGGAAAAAACACATGAAACGAGTGTGAGTGAGGGACACAAAACATACAGTACCACCCAAAAAGAGAGGAAATCACTTCTGTTGGCCCATCCTGAGCACTTCACTGTCCTGGACAAACGCCACATGAAGCTTTGCGATGCACTCTGTACGTTGAAGCGCGTTAAGCCATCGTCCTGACCACGCTTTGACTGAATGGTGGAATGTGCCACGCGTTTAGAAGCTTCTTGCTACAAATGCCGTCCATCAATGCCATGGGTGACTTGTCCGGGAAAATTTCCTTCTGGCTTTCTGGCATTGCCCATACGAGTCATTGAACAAGTACAGAAAACACACCTGGTACAGAAGTGAGCTTGGCACATGGAGCAAGGACGTCTCCTCCATCGCCCAACTGCAAATGGACGCATCGGAGACGCCTAAAGAACGCTTGATGCTCTGCCAGTCAGAGGGGTTGACCGAGTAGGCTTCTGCCGGCTCGAAAACCAAGGGGAGTTTCGGGACAAGCCTCCAAGGTGGTTTAACAAAAAAGGCGCTTGTCAATAATAGGTGCTGACTGTGTATTGTACTGATTCTCTATCTGGTGGCTCAGGATCAATGTCCAGACATGTCGAGACTAAAACTCCAAACCCGAAGGATGGCCACCCATCTGCTGCACACATGAATACCTTTAGGCTTCATGGCTTCATCATCACTTGGGTACGTGCCCGCTAAATTGCTTCGAAGACTAGAATCAGAAGACTGATAAAGACTAAGCGGCTACTGTAGTTCCTCGTGTCATGAGCTTGTGGAGTTTCCCTTTACCCGCTCGACTGCCAACGGCCTTCGGCGCTAGGATAAATGGGAACGTTGAGCACCTGCCGTTGGAGCACATGGCAACTCACCAAGCTGACGCAGGTGACCAACCAACGAAACACTCTCAATAACAAACAATGTCAAAGTCATTGAACAATAGGAATTGTGATGAAAGGTGAATGGAGAAAAGTAATGCGGCCATATGCGGCCCATATGGCCTATCTCGATGATACATAATTTTCCAACAACCCCAAAACAACCGAAAATACTAGGAGCAAGGACACTACTAGGGGCTCCAAGTATGTACCAAACACACGCGGACCAAAGCCATGGCTCGGCCTGAACTGGATTTGAAGATACACCAGAGTAGTTGAAGAGGGACTGGGAGTCAGAGTCTAAGGCCAAGTGAGTCGACAAAAAGAGCAAGACCTTGGATGGCAGAACCAAGAAAATAGTACACAAAAGGTAAAAAAAATAGTTTTCAGATATTGTATTATTCTTTTATTCTTTCCCAATGTAATGTCGCAGGATGTAGATGAGAAGTTAAAATGCACAAGAAAATGCGTGGATCAGGGGAGCTCGGACTTGCGAAGGGGCCTATGAAACCCCGTGCGCACCATGTGGAAAACTGGTAACCTAATACCGATAGCCTCCCACTTAGAAGCGATGGCCTCCAACCTTGAATCCATGGCCTTCACCCTAATAGCAATGGCCTCCAACCTGGAAGCGATGGCCAAGGATGGCCTCGAACCTAATAGCGATGGCCTCCAACCCAAAAGCATTGGCCTCCAACCTCAGTAATAGCAATGGCCTCCAACTTAATTGATAGCAATCGCCTCCAACCTGGAAGCGATGGCCTCCAACCTAATAGCAACGGCATCCAACCTACTAGCACTGGCTTCCAACCTACTAGCAACGGCCTCCAACCTACTAGCAGTGGCCTCCAACCTCGAAGCGATGGCCTCCAACCTCGAAGCGATGGCCTCCAACCTAATAGCGATGGCCTCCAACCTAATAGCGATGGCCTCCAACCTAGAAGCCATGGCCTCCAACCCAATACCCATGGCCTCCAACCTCGAAGCAATGGCCTCCAACTTACTAGCGATGGCCTCCAACCTGATAGCAATGGCCTCCAACCTAACAGCGATGGCCTCCAACCTAGAAGCGATGGCCTCCAAGCTAAGAGCGATGGCCTCCAACCTATAGAAGCGATGGCCTCCAACCCAATAGCCATGGCCTCCAACCTCGAAGCAATGGCCTCCAACTTAGAAGCGATGGCCTCCAACCTAATAGCGATGGCCTCCAACCTAGAAGCGATG